GAAACTCTTTCTGTATAGGGGAAGTTTCTGTAAGTAAGCAATAACATGATTCTACATGATGTTTTTACATATGTTAAGTTTTAAATCTAACTTCACACATATATGCATATAACACATATATGTGTCATATATGCACACATATGTTTATATGTGTGCATTTAACAAAAGCTGAATTCTGCCAAGCTTATATTATCATTATATTCATGATTTTTATTCCCTTATTTATTTTGCTTACTATGGATGCTTATTTCTAGCTTATTAGTAAGAACTAAACAAATTTTAAAAGGGTCTGTGAGGAAAGGGGGAACAAACCTGAAACAAACAACTGAGAGATGGAAGAATTTGTTTTTAATAATGTTTTCCTGTTTTATGTGGAAAACAGCCACACTCTGTTTTCATCAAGAATTGGAATAAAAAAGGAGCATACAGTTTAGTGAAGAGAAGTTATTTTAGAAATGAGAGGAATTTAACGTTTTACTGGATTTGGGGGAGCTCCTGAAATCTTATCTATATTCTATATTCAAACAAGATAATGTTACATAGTATGGAGTTTTTAGTCACTATTTGAAAATGGGAAAAATTTAGGTTAGAAAATCTTACTTTATGCAAATAAAATTTGTAATACCTGGTAACCACATGGTTAATATTGAATAAACATTTTCATCATGAATTTTTTATATAAATCCAAACTTAAGAAAAACAATTATGATATTTTTGTGGGTTATCAGTTAAAATGTTACTTCTAATATATTTTTATGTTAAAGTGAATATGAATTCATTTATTAGATTATGCTAGTCTTAACATAAACTTCAATGTCTAAGTTTTTATTCTGCATGAAAAAAGGTATCATCTATAGTTATCGTGTAAGAAATATTTTCAGAAAGTTAGCAGTATGCATTTATGGTAATGAAATTGAAAGGCTTTGCTGAATTCTGGGTTTTGGTCCCTTTATGATTATTGTTAATATAGGTGAAGGTTATATGTCCATAATATTATTTAGCACCTTTAAGTAGAGTCAAAATTGTAGGAAACCATTAATACTGGTGTACTCAGGGAAGACCTTACAGATACTATGCAGTGTGGCTTATAAACTATGAAATAGTACCTTTACTATTAGTAAATATCAGGAAAGGTATTTAGAGTACATTAAAATAATGTAACAGTTACCTAGTTAAATATTAATTTCCATCTAAGGAAAACTATGTGAGGTGATAGATTTGTTAATTAGCCCACTTTAATCTTTGCTCATTGTAAACATATATCAAACATCACATTGTACCCCATAAAGATATAGTTATTTGTCAGTTGAAAACAAATGAAATAATTTTAATGTATCTTGAAACATAAAATGCTTTTTACATATGCCAAGAAATAATCATTGTGCTCTATTAATAACACGTTAATAAGATAAATTATAACATGAGTATTATTATGTACACAATATTCTATTTTCAGTTCTGTTCGAATCTGGGACTATACTCAAGATGCTTGCATAAATGTTCTCAGTGGACATACTGCACCCGTGAGGGGATTAATGTGGAATACTGAGATTCCATATCTACTAATATCTGGTAGCTGGGACTATACCATAAAAGTATGGGACACTCGAGACGGAACTTGTCTGGACACTGTGTCTGATCATGGTGCAGATGTGTATGGTAACGTGTTTTCATGTAGTTGTTATTTGGATAGATTAATGATGCTCATAATTTCTGAGCAATGCTGTATTTTTTAAGAAGTCTTACAGTGTTTCACTTTAAAATAACATTTTTCTCATTATAAAATATATGTGTTTATAACTGAGATATAAAAATACACAGAAGATAGAAAAGAAACCAAAAATTGTCAGACAATAACTATTGTTAGCGCTGTGGGGTCTTTCTCTCCCTTTTTCTCGGCCAGTGTCCCTGTGTTTTTGTACACACACACACACAGGACACATAGACTGATGAACAAATATACATGTATGGCATAGATTTTTATACCTTCCCTTTATCATTACTCCAGAGGTAAGCTGTAGAACAGAAAATCAATAATAGTGTAGATAGATCGATATAACTTACTTAGCCATTCACCTATTCTTGGATACATAGGGCAATGTTTTGTTTTTTTAATATAATACTTAGTTTTTTAATATAATTGAACTCAGTATGGAAAATCTGATTACTTATCTTTTGGACACTTTACTGTCATATTTATTTGTATTTATTCTTACTCTTAAATCTTGATGGGAGGGAGCAGGTGGATTAAGAATGTAAAAATGGGGGTGGTGCCTGTGACTCAAAGGAGTAGGGCACCGGCACCATATGCTGGAGGTGATGGGTTCGAACCCAGTCCCGGCCAAAAAAAAAAACAACAGTGATTTCTTAGAGAAGAAAATCCCAATCCAGCCATTCAGATCCATAAGCTTTATCACAGTGGCCTTTTAGGTAACTCAGTGTGAAAGAGAGAATCCAATTTATTATTAATAATATCAAAATTGAGAGGTACTCAACTCTTTGATCTTGTCACTAGAACTTCAATCTATCCATTAACTTACAGATACTATTAATACATACACATTGAGGTTCCTGTGCTGCTTAACTTTGTGAAATACGATTTTAACATTTTATCCAGGACCATTTGCTTTCCAGTAATAATTCAATTTTATATTGATATTTAAGGAATCTACTCAATACTTTATTACATTCTCATAGTATTTTCCGGTGTTAAATGCAAATAAAAGGTTGACTCTGAGAACCTTTCAGTTATTCACAAGACTGCTTCATAACTTCAATTCTGTAGAAGTGTTAAGAGGTACATATAAATAAAAGCTATTTTTCAATGTCTACTTTAGTTAAAATAGATTCATCTTTTCCACCAGGTTTAACATGCCACCCACGTCGGCCCTTCACTATGGCCTCTTGCTCCCGGGATTCTACAGTGAGACTCTGGTCATTAACACCTTTGATCGCTCCTTTACAAATAAATATTCTGGCAGAAAGACCTTGGGAAGACATTATCGGGAACACTGGTATTGAACGTATGCATGTATCAGATTTTATTTTTAAGTAATGATTTGTAAGAAATCTTTTCTCACTGAATTGTGTCTGTTCTTCAGACTGTGCTATGGAACCAAGCACTCCTCCTCTGCTGTGTGGTAAAGTGTCAAGGGACATTAGGCAAGAAGTGGAAACGCCAACTGGTAATCCTCGAGCAAAAAAGCTAAGGTGGTTTTCAGAATGTTTATCAGTAAGTATTCTAGGAAGCAAGTCTGAACATCTTCCCTTGAACAAAATGAATCATTACAATAATTGTCATTACGCTGTCACATATTCACATGCACCATCCTGATTCAGTGGGTCCCTCTGAATATAATCTGTCCATCATAAGAAAGCAAATGTAAAACAAGAAATACTCTATAGTTACTTCATTAATTTTTTAATTTAAGTAAAGATGCAGAATGCTGTGAGGTCTTTTATTCACTAGTGTATCTTTGATTGTTATGTATCATCATTTTAGCCTCCAGGTGGCAGTGACAATTTATGGAACTTGGTTGCTGTGATAAAAGGGCAAGATGATAGCTTACTCCCTCAGAACTACTGCAAAGGAATAATGCATTCAAGACATCTGATTAAATTTAGAACAGTGAGTACAGTATGCAGATATGATATGCTTAAGCAAATTTTTGCCTTTTTACTATTAAAGTATAAACATGACGTGAGAAACAGTATAATTGAGGAGATAAATCTTTGGTAAAACCAATCATAAGGGTAAGAATTATTTGAGAACAGATTAAGGTACCTAACATGTTTCATAGACTGAACCTAATGAACTTCTTTAAAGGTCACTCAGAACCCCTGGGAAGGCTTTAATTTTTACCCTCTTACCAGATGGTTCTGACACAGGGGTTACTTTAATTTTAATCTTAGAGGGCCTGATAGGCTGTATGCTGGAACATATTTTATTAAAACTGAACATAATATAGCTCATAATGGATTTCCATGCAAAACTATTAGCTATACCTGAATATCAAGTAATATTCAGCACTAATAACAAAACCCATCCTAGCACCAGAAAGAAGAAATTGCTTATATATTATCTGAAATATCAATAGTCAACTGTTAGAACATGGAAGAGATTCTGCCAGGAATGTGGCTATAATGGTCACATATGACAGCTATTTATAAAAAAGCACTTTAATCATAAACTGCTAATGACTGTCATAGCAAACCCTAATGACTGTCATAGCAAACTCTTTTTTTTTTTTGAGACAGAGCCTCAAGCTGTCCCCCTGGGTAGAGTGCCGTGGCATTACAGCTCACAGCAACCTCCAACTCCTGGGCTCAAGCGAGTCTCCTGCCTCTACCTCCCAAGTAGCTGGGACCACAGGCGCCCGCCACAACGCCCGGCTATTTTTTGGTTGCAGCTGTCATTGTTGTTTGGCGGGTCCGGGCTAGGGATTCGAACCCGCCACCTTAGGTGTACGTGGCTGGCGCCTTAGCCGGTTGAGCTATAGGCGCCGAGCCATAGCAAACTCTTTTGATAGTATAGGAGCCAATTAAAGTGAGCCAGTAACTCCTCACTTTTACTATGTACACATGTACACGACTTAATCACTGCTGTGTGGCCTATGGACTTCTATGGAACCTCAGCAGCTGGAGGGTGCTGAGAACAAAGGGATTCAATCTCTTCCCTTCATCCTCCCCAATACACCAAAACATTACATTAAGGAGGTGCCATATTGTATAGAAAACATTAAATTTAAGGAGGTGCCATATTGTATAGAAAACATTACCTTTAAGCAGGTGCCATATTGTATAGAAAACATTACCTTTAAGGAGGTGTCATGTTTGTTTAAGGAGGTGTCATATTGTATAGATAAAAGTACTGTTCTTTAGGTGTGTAGTTTCCTTAGCTGTATATTTGTGAAATATATATCCATGTAATGTTTTTATGATCATCAGTTACCACCAGCTCTGGTAAAGCAAAATTTTTAAATTTTGTTTTCTTTTGAACCAGTCTGAAGCCCAAGAACTAACAACTGTCAAGATGTCTAAATTTGGCAGTGGCATTGGCGTACCAACTAAGGAGGAGAGACTGAAGGAAGCTGCAGAGATACACCTGAGACTGGGACAGATTCAGAGATACTGTGAACTCATGGTTGAACTTGGAGAGGTGATGTGCTAGCAAAGTAAAATCAATGAGCTTACTGTGATAGTCTACGTAATTAGGATATACTTAATTCTAGGTATTAAAAACAGGAAGCTTTTTTTATAAGCTTTATAAATAATAAATTTATAAATAATTTATTTATTATTTATAAATAATAAAAAATGAAACTTATTCTTTTCTCAGATCTTAGTAGTTCTCTGCCAATCTGGTATTAAGTGTATACCCTACAACAGTAGTTATCAAAGTGAGGGCTTTTTGAAGAAGCCTTACTGCGTTTCAGGCTACTAGTGTCATTGTCACTTAGGACCCCGTTACACATGCATGTCCCACCCACACCTCCAAAATCAGAAACTTTGGGGTGGGGAGCCCAGCCATCTATGCTTTTATAAGCCCTCTTGGTTATAAAAATGGTGGGATGGATTTTCTCTGCTAAATAATGAAATTTTATATATATTATTTTAAAATTTATTAAGACACATGTAGGAAGGGACTTCAGAAAATTTGTGGAGAAGTGAAATTAAAAGACAAAAACAAAAGCTATTTCTCAATGTCAGTTCCATCAAGTTCAAGATACTTTTGTAAGGGATGATACCAGCCATTTAGACCTTCCCTAAAGAACCAACAGTCTTGGGAATTGAACTGTGTCAATGCAGTCTTTTTTTACATTTTTAAGTGAAGAAAAATGGGTTCCCTTTAAAGATTTTTTTTAGGTTAGGAAAGAAAAGGAAGTCAGATGGAGCCAATTCAGGACTGTAAGATGAGTGGCTAATGATTTCCTATTAAACTCACAAAGAATTGCCCTTGTTTGATGAGAAATGAACAAGAACATTGTGGTGGGGGGAAGGAATCTCTGGTGAAACTTTTCTGGTTGTTTTGATGGTAAAGCTTTGGATTTCTTTGCCAAAATGTGTGTAACAAGCAGATGTTATTCTTTGGCCCTGCAAAAAGTCAACAAGCAAAATTCCTTGAACATTCCAGTAAACTGTGCCGTGGACTTTGCTCTGAGTAGCCATTGCTTTGATTGTGCTTTGTCTTCAGGATTCTACTGCTAAAGATGTGTTTCATCTCCTGTTACAATTCTTTGAAGAAATGCTTCTGGGTCTTTATTTTACTTTTTTAAAACTCCCACTGAAAGCTATACTCTGTGTACAGCTGATGGGGACACAATTTTGTCACCTATCAAACAGAAAGTTTGCTCATCTTTAATTTTTCAGTCATAATTGTATAACTGGAACCAAGTGAAGTGGTCTATGGTGTTGCAGTTGGTTGTGCTGTTATTCGCCAGGCCTCTTCAGTTAAGGCATGAACAGGGGAAATTTTTTCCTCACTGCTGCTGTGGGCTTCATCTTGCACATCAAACTGTTCCTTAAAATGAGTTATCCATCTGTAAATTGCTGATTTCTTTGGGGTAGTGTCCCCATATACTTTTTGTAAAGCATCAGTGATTTCACTGTTCTTCCATCCACATTTCACCATGATAATTTGATATTTCTTCCTATTCCAGTTTTAACAGAGTTCATGTTGCTACGATAGGGGCTTTTTTCAAACTGATGTCCTACCCTCCTTAGTGCCTCCAACTAGATCCTATTCAGACATGTTATATATAACAAGTTAGTATGAGTTTATTTTGGTGCAAAAGTTTTTTTTTTTGAAATCCATGCAACTTTGTATGGAATTTAGACTGTATGGAATACATGAGATAGAATACAAAAGTATTCTTTAAAATCAAAAAGGTCTAAAATCTCTGCCATGTAAATATGAATTAATCAAAAAGTTTTTAAGAATTACACAATACAATCAAAATAGATATGCTTCTGTTCTTCCCACTTTCTGTTCTAGTGGGACAAAGCCCTGTCAATCGCACCAGGGGTCTCTGTGAAATACTGGAAGAAGTTAATGCAGAGGTAAGGCAGAAAGTGTATTTTCAAAGATATTTTAAAATCACATATTAAGGCTCAGCGCCTGTGGCTCAAGAGGCTAAGGCACCAGCCACATACACCTAAGGTGGCAGGTTCGAATCCAGCCCGGGTCCACCAAACAACAATGATGGCTGCAACCAAAAAAAAAATAATAATAATAGCCAGGCGTTGTGGTGGGCGCCTGTGGTCCCATCTACTTGGGAGGCAGAGGCAGGAGACTCGCTTGAGCCCAGGAGTTGGAGGTTGCTGGGAGCTGTGATGCCACAGCACTCTACCTAGGGGGACAGCTTGAGACTCTGTCTCAAAAAAAAAAAATCACATATTAATTTAGAAGCCGTATATAAATAAAAACAGAAGTAGCTTGTGGTATTTCTGTATTCTTATATTGTCTTTTGTATCTACTAATACAATAAGTTAAATGAATCTGTTAGGGTCATCATTTTGGTGTTTTTATATTTTCCCATGTCAGTGGGGAAAGGACAGATCAGACATACTCACTGATTAATATATTACCATTTAAATATAAGTAGTAAGATATTTGAATGTTACCTAAAGTTCATAAAATACTATTTTGTAAACTTCTCCTTGCAGGCATTAATTTCTGCCATTTCCTCCACATGTATATAAGGGAGGTGCTGATGATAAAGAAGGGTGCAGAGTGAGAGATGCAGAGAAGCAGAGACTTTTCTAAAAGTGATTGCCAGCAGGCTTTACGCAGTCTGCTACAACTTGTAGCTGTGCTTTCAGAAAATCTCAGTCCAACTAAAATCCTTGAAATTGGTATTAAAAAAAAACTGTCCTTATTTTATTAGGAGAGCTGACCAGTTAATTGAGGAAGATAAGGATGACGTCATTCCGTACTGCATAGCCATTGGGGATGTGAAGAAACTAGTCAGCTTCTTTACATCCCGAGGTCAGCTTAAGGAAGCTCTGCTTGTCACACAGGTATAACCACACAGCCGTGTGCATGGGTGGGGGTGGGGGTGGGGGTGGGAGACTGTGTTGGTTGGCTTTTCCTCACAAGTCACAGCTGGCTTGGCTTCTGCCCACCTCCCAGGCCTTGTCTCCCAACATTTCAGTCATACCGTGTATACTCAGATCAGATGGAACTTTAGATTTTTAAATATATAAGCGTGTTTCCAAACTCTGAACTTTTCACAGGCTGCGGAATGTTACATGCTGTACATTCAAACAACTTTGTTTAGCGGTCATTTTCTCAAAAGTTTATTTTGGTACTCGCAATGGAATTAACATTTTATTTTTTTTCAGTTTTTATAGTTATAATATCAATTTCAATTACAATTTGTATACTTTGCTCAAAATAATATGCGGGGGAAATCTATCCCTGCATGTCTTCCAAGCTCTCTGCCATGGTACTTCCTTGGGACTGAGAAGTTCTGCTCTTGGAGGATTTGTTAAAACTCTGACCTTTTGCTTAAAACTCAGGGCCAAAGAGAATGATTAAGAGCCACTTAGGATTAGAGCTGACCCCTGTGCCTGGCTGTATGGCTGTAGGCCTTTTATTCTGCTCACTATAGGTGGCCAAAACATCAGAGATGGGGTTTCTGTGATCAGCCACATAGTGGGTGTCATTTACTTTCATCTTGATCACCTTGTAATCCTTAAATTCTTGGTTCCTGAGGTCAAGTCCACAACTTACCTTCTAGTCAGTTTGCCCAGCCTTCAGTATTGGTTGATATATTAAGTTATTTTCTCTTTAAGAGAAGAAATTGAACTGGGGGACACAATGTCCTTCCTCCACATGGGAAGAAAATAAAAATCTCCTTTCCAACAGCTTTGGAAAAAAACAATCAAAAACACATGCTGAAATCAGTTATTAACAATTAGCTCAATGTTAATTAAATATTTAATTAAATTCTAGGCTGCATTTGAGGGAAATATGCAAACCATACATGTTTCTGCACCAAAAGGAGCTTCATGTTCTGGTGATGCCTACAAGGAAGACTTTAATGAGTGAGTGCTTTATTCTTTGTTTGGGGTCAGTATTTTTTATGGTTGGTTTCTTTTTAGGAGTTTCTGAGAGGTTACATACCAGAAAGGGTTGGTCTTCCCTTGTATCCTGAGGACTTGGCTGGCTTCTGTCCTCACCTGCATCTCCCACCAGGATCTAGTTCCACGACTGCACCCGTCCCTAGATGGAGGGGGAAATGCGAGGTGTAGAAACAGTCTGCACACTTTCTATGCAGCTTTCAGAGAAGCAAAACGCATTTCAGTAGAGACAGTGCAAATGAGGCACCTGAAAACTTAAAAACTCATCACACCTGTTGGAGAGGAGCATCTGAAAAGAAGGTGGGCTGCTGAGGGATGTTTCCCTGCACAGTCAGCAGGCAGGACATGGTGCGGTACCCTTCACAGCCCCACGACCACAGGATTAGTGTCTAGAATAAGATTTAGTGCTCGTTTAAGGAAGAAATCCAAAGAGTTATCTTTAAAAAGAATTTGAAATTAGAATTTTTGGCTTTTTTATCCTTTTTAAAACTGATAGTGTATTTTCTCTGACCCCTTCTATTGACTCCTATTGTTAGCTTAAAAAATGGGATATTTAAACTTTTAAGATACTCATCACATAGAAAATAATCATGACATGTTAAACAAGTAATGTGTTGGGAATAACATATTCTTTTCTTTTATTGTTACTTTTTTTTTTTTTTTGAGACAGTCTTCCTCTGTCTCTCTGGCTAGAGTGCTGTGACATCACAACTCACAGCAACCTCAAACTCTTGGGCTCAAGCGATCCTCCTGCCTCAGCCTCCTGAGTAGCTGGGACTATAGGTGCCCACCACCATGCCCAGCTAGTTTTCCTATTCTTAGTAGAGATGAAGACTCATTCTTGCTCAGGCTGGTCTTAAACTCCTGAGCTCAGGCGATCTATTCACCTCAGTCTCCCACAGTGCTGGGATTATAGGTGTTAGATACCACACCAGGCCTCTTTTCTGGATCTTTGCTGCTATTCTCTGCCATTCCTCAACTTGGCATCTTAAAGATCTAATATACCCTTGCCATATTTTTGACGCCACCTGAATTTTGAAAAATTTTAGTTCAACTCATTTCTCCAAGGTTAACTGCCCTTTAGCTGAATGCATCTAGTGCATGATGATAAATTCTGAAAGGTAGGTTTCTCATCTGATAGTTGTGGAGATGAGGAGATCATATACTTGGAAAGCCTGCTTTCCTGATTTTTTGTTTTCAAAAAATGAGGCTTTGTACATGAATCAAGGATGTCAAGTTAAATCTTATTTCGTCCCGTAATCATTCTTACAAAAGGGCATTGGTTCACTTTTAATATGAAATTCTTGTGTTTAAATAGAATATATGCCTTTTTTTTCTTTCTAGACTCCTGTACAAAGTCAGCAAAGAGCTGGCAGAATGGTATTTTCAAGATGGTCGGGCAGTGCTAGCTGCATGTTGCCATCTAGCTGTGGATAATATTGAGGTACAATATTTCAGATGGTTTATGCCAATGGCAAGCTCTGTAGATGTGTCCTTGTGTCTGAGGGGAAAAGATACAGTGACTGTATGAGGTCTGATTTTACAGCGAATTAGCATATATAAACTCTACAGACTATGAGCCTTTAGTTTTAGTTTTATCACAAGATACATATTTGTAACAATCTTAAACATTACATCATCTGTGAGAAGTAGCAGTGCTGTAAAGGGAAAAATCTCTGGACAAAAATATCTGAGTCTGAGTCCTGTTTCTGCCACATACTGACTTTAAGCATGTCACTTAACCTAGTAGAGTTTCCAGTGTCCTCTAAAATAAAAAATATGAATATTTGCCTTACATTTCAAATGTAGTTGTTAGGACTTCAAAAACTAATACAAATGAAAGCACTTATTTCTAAATGTACTTTGATATATTCTTTACATGGTGTTTTTTGTTTGCTTGTTTGTTTGTTTGGAGATAATTTCACTTTGTTGCCCCTGACTAAAGTGTCGTGGCATCATCATAGCTCATAGCAATCTCAAACTCCTGGGCTCAAGTAATCCTCCTGCCTCAGCCTCCCATGTAGCTGGGATTATAGGCACTCACCGCAATGCCCAGCTCATCCTTTTTTTTTTTTTTTTTTTAAGTAGAAACAGAGTCTCACTCTTGCTCAGGCTAGTGTCAAATACCTGTACTCAGCTTATCTACACACCTCAGCCTCCCAAAGTGCTGGGTATACATGTATAAGTCACTGTGCCTGATCACAATAAGGAAAATATTAAATAAATTCTTAGATATATCAGTTTTAGAGAACAATTGATAATTGCTGTAATTCTTGAAGAAGTCTTTTAAAATTTACATTTTTGTTCTGCTAGGGAGACTGAAGAACATATTAAGGAAGTAGAGTGGGATTAATTAAAAAAGTAAGACTAAGGTTCTAAACTCTTAAATTCTGTCCTCATGAAGTTTTTTATATGTTTCATTATCAACTTTTCCATCTGAAAATTGCAATTATTCTTATAATGGGACTTTATAGAAATATTGCAATCAATATTTTATAAGAATAATTGATTTATAGGTTAATGCTACTTTATCTACTTTGTGAGCTTGGAGGGGAATGATGATCCTACCCAGCATCTATGCAACTGAAGAAATTATTTTCTTATTGAGCAAGCTTGCTATGGCATACCTGGTTCGCGGAAATGAACTGGAGTTGGCTGTCTGTGTGGGCACGGTACTGGGCGAGTCTGCAGCTCCAACAACCCACTATGCCCTAGAATTACTGGCAAGAAAATGCATGATGATTCCAATATGGTAAGAATTGTAAAAATCCTAAAAATAATTGTATAGAGATAGAGCACATGTTTTAAAAGCATTGCAAATTCCATTTGATAAGATGTGTTTTGGGAGAATATAAGTTCTCTTTTTTTATAAAGAATAAGATTGTGGGAGGAAATGGTGATGAGGAAATGAAGTATCATGGTTACATACTGAATCTACCATAAGCCATTCTGTAGCCCAGTTGTAAGTCTGGAAAGTTTCTAGCACCTAAAAGTATCATGAGACAACACGTGCACTTTTCACGTCTTAAAATCCTGCATATACCCAAGGGCTGTCCTGAAAATATCCAGCCATGTAAAATGAAAAGTAGCATCAATTATGGTTCCATCTCTCGTATACTTACTTTTGTCTAATCTTGTGTCCTAGTTCAGGCTTGAAAAATAAAGTCACTTTTCTAATGAAAGCAATAACAAAGATGGTTTAGCTTGAGACTGGAAACTGGCCTTCTCTCTTGACTCTGGAAATAGCCTAAGAGGCAGACCCTGAGAATCTCCTGTGATAGCCTGGAGCTCCAGATCAAAGTAAAGATAGCTAGCGTCTGCAGAGCTCTGTTCTTAGGCCAGAGAATACATCATATGGAAGCATCTTTACAAAAGATGTGATTCTGTTATTTAATAGATATTTGGAGTTTTTGTTTTGTTTGTTTGTTTGAGACAGAGTCTCACCCTGTCACTCTAGGTAGAGTGTCATGGCATCATAGCTCACAGCAACCTCAAACTCTTAGGCTTGAATAATCCTCTTGCCTCAGCCTCCCAAATAGCTGGGACTACACGTGGACCTCCCTACCAAGCCCAGCTAGATTTTCTCTTTTTAGTAGAGATGAGTCTTACTCTTGCTCAGGCTGGTCTTGAACTCTTGATCTCAAGCAGTTCTTCTGCCTCAGCCTCCTAAAGTGATGTGAGCCACTGCACTCAGCCATTTAGTAGATATTTGTTAAAAAAAAAAAAAAAAAAAAAAGATGATTTTAGATTTTTATCTTCTCTTTCCTTGAGACCTCAAAAAATTTCTAAATAAACTTGTTACTCAGAATGTTGACCTCTCTTCATAATACATCCTTGAGATGGAGCTATATAGATGGCTAACTTCTGAACATTCCAAGTGTTAACAATAGTGATTAATAACAATGTCAGCCAGCTAACACCTCTATACTGCCTACTCTGTGCCAAGCACTGCTTTACCATAAAACCTCAGTAGGTCCCCTGAGGTAGGTTTTAATTTGACTGAGGTCTCAGTAAGTTTTAGAGCCAAGATTGAAACGTACATAAACTGGCTGTAAAATTTCAGCTCTTAGCTACTACAGTATGTAGGTTGAGTATTTCTAATCCAAAAATCTGAAGTACTCTAAAATTCAAAACTTTCTGTGTGTCGGCATGTCGCCACAAGTGGAAAATTGCACGTGTAAATACTTAACATATAACTTGTTTCATGCAAAAAATTATTTCAAATATTATATAAAACTCTCTTCGTTATATTTTTACAAGGTGTATATGCATATAAATGAATTTTATGTTCAGACTTGGGTCTCATCCCATGATATCTCGTTATATATGGAAGTATTCCAAAGTCTGAAAAAAAAAAATCTAGAATCTGAAACACTTCTGGTCCCAAGCATTTCAGATAAGGGAGATACAACCTGTACCACCTCCTTATCTGAGGCTAGCTCAGAAAAAGAACAATACTGTACATAGTCCTTTTTTGTCTGAATCTGAAGGCTTTAAGGATCTCAAAGTTGTTCTCATTTTTATACATACCTTTTTATAGAGCTTCCTCCCCCTCACCAAAACGTGGTAGCATCCCACCATCAATCCTAGATTTTAAATATATTTAATGCTGACCATCTTCTGAGAGTATCCAGTTATCACTCTGTCAAGAACCTTCATGGTCAATTATAGAGTAACTAGGACTTGCCTTAGATCCATCTCAAAGCATGAAATGTAATGCAAATTATTCCCAGATGTGGCTGCCTCCATGTAAAAGTTACCGTCTATCTAAATAAAATGTGGTTTGCTTTTAAAAAGTGAGGGTTAAAAGTAGCAAAACATAAATGCTGTATATAGTTCACTCTTGAGCAATACCAGTGCAGTAGGAAATCCAAGTCTCACTCTGTCACCCAGGTCAGAGTGGTATGGCATCATCACAGCTCACAACAACCTCAAACTCCTGGCCTCGGTGATCCTCCTGCCTCAGCCTCCCAAATAGCTGGGACTACAGGTGCCCACCACAACACCTGACTAATTTCTCTATTTTTAGTAGAGATAGAGTCTCGCTTCTGCTGAGGCTGGTCTCCAACTCCTAAACTCAAGGTATCCTCCCTCCTCAACCTCCCAGAGTACTGGGATTATGAGCTTGAGTGAGCCACCTCACTGGCCCCAAGTATGACTTTTGAATCCCTCAAAACTTAGCTCTTAATAGCCTGTTGTTCACCAGAAGCCTTACTGATAGCGTGAAACATCAATTAACACAGATTTTGAATGTTATATGTACTCTTACAATAAAGTAAACTAGAGAAAAGAAAATACTACTGAGAAAAATCATAAGGAATAGAAAATATATTTACTTCCCATAAGTGGAAGTGGACCATAGTAAAGGCCTTGCTCTCATTATCTTTATATTGAGTAGGCTGGGGAGGAGGAGGGGTAGAGGAGTCGGTCTTGCTGTTGCTGGGGTGGCAGAGACGGAAGAAAATCTGCATGTAACTGGAGCCTGTGTTTTTCAAGGATCCACTAGAAACGTTAATAAATTAAAATGATGTTTTAAAACCTTTCTATCTGTTGTATATTTTTAATAAAAAACCAAATTTCTATATTCTTATAACTTCTATCTTAGAGCGCTTCCTCTGTATACCCATAGACATGTACACTAGAAACCAGGAAAATATTCACATTCTAATAACGTGATCAGGTTTATTTCCAGGAGAAATTTGTAATCCTTATGACCATCAGAAGAGCACTACAGGTTAGAAGGCAAAAGGCTACTTAACTTTAAAAGTATGTTTATAATCTTATAAACCACAAATATTTCATGTTCTTTACTGATAAAAGTTTACCTCTCTATTAAATTCATTATATGGTCATGGTATTCATATTTAATATTTTCTTTTTAGCTTTCCCTCTGTTGGATACAGGTAATATCTATTTTTGTTTATTTTATTTATTTATTTATTTTTAAATCGAGCCCGAGAAAGGCTTGAACTCACAACCCCTGGTTTGCAGGGTCAGCCCTCTAACCACTCAGGCTATAGCACCCAGCTTCTGCTTTTATTTGAAAACATGTTTATTAAAACTTTATAAAGTATTGTATTTTGTTATTTGCGTATCTTCTCTATATTAACAAAGAATCATTAATCATTTTCACTTTGTTTTGTGATATACCAATTCATATATATAATTAAAGCACATAAAACCTAACTACAAAGTAATGAGAACCGTTTCTATAAGCTAGGACAAAATCACCAATGATTTTATACTTAAAACTTGTACAATAAATGAACTGTAGCTTTCTACCATTACCCAATGATAGCTAACTCAGCTAAGCAAAATAAAATGCCTGTTCTAATGTTGAAATTTAAGAATTTAGGTCATTTGGTTATTCTGTATCATTTTATACATATATATGTATATACATACATACTTTCCCCCATTTGTGTAGTGATTCTTTTAAAGGGTGAATTAGATTAAATATTGAATATCATTAGCTGATCTTGCTATAAATTTTCACTATACCAGGATATAATTCTAGATTAAAGAAGTCAGATTTTATTTGTAATTCATGGAAGTTTAGATAGTATTTTAACACAGCTATCTTATACACAGTAAAAGCAAATTAAGACGTCTGTATTTTCATGGACATTATTTAAAATTGCTATGAAATTTTGGTGTCAGAAAACACACAACATCATGCATACTTTCTAGCAACAACACCTACTCCAATTTGGAACTTGTAATAACATTCAAAGATTTATCTGCACAACGTAATGGAAAGTCTGGCCCTTTTGGAAGATGTTATGTTTAATTATTAAGTGGCTAAGGAAAAATAATGTGAAAGATCATTGTACTATTTTAGCAATTCTCTATTGACATCATCTAGAAAATTATTTATTAATAGCATGTTGAATTATTAAAATATTTTATGACAACTTTTATGATACTTCTCTAATATTTTTCTTATTCTAAAATCCTTAAGTGAGCCTAATTTAAAATCCTAATAGTTTGTGATATGTGTATGGGGGGTTGTATTTTAGAATATTTATTATATGGAAAAAGAGAGCCCCCAAATTATTTTTTTTAATAAGCAGAAAATATAAGACTTTCAACTGCTGGGTGGCAAAGTAAGAATTTTTTTTAAATTTTTGATCCTTCAACGTAACAGCAGGATAGTTTAAAATTTAACATGTTACTTATTTTATTGCTTTGTTTACAGTAAATTAAGCAACCTTTATATATATAAAATAGCATATATACAAAGTTATTAATTTTACTATTTTTTATAATAGTAAAAGATTAGAAATCATCTAAATATCCATCAATAGAGAAGACACATTATGATATATCAGTACAATGAAATGTTATATAGAAATGCTAAAAAATAATAGAATAGGTAGAGTGTGCTACTAATTATGTAGGAAATGGGGGTGGGTTGGGGAATGTGTAAATGCATTTGGTTGTATATGTTAATATAACTCTAGGATGTCACTTAAAAAAAAAACAACCCAACACTGCCTATGGAAAAACAAATGGGGGTGGATGAGGCCAAGAGAGGAGAGAAACTTTTCAATAAATATTCTTTCATGTTTTCTGACATTTCAGCCATTGCAAATGTATAACTTATTCCGAGGTCAAAATAAATAACATTTTAAAGTAAAACATACATATATAAGATTATTTTAAAAGAAATGAATATTTGCAAAAGTGTATTGCTCACTGTCTAGGTTTTATATATAATTACACAGATAAAACCAATTTATAAAGGAACTACTTTAATTATACATAATCTTTAATATGAGCCCCAATGAGTTACATTGCATGTAGCAATCTTAAGAGTTAATTTCATCCCCAATTTTTGGTATTGTTTCAGGTTAATTTGAGGATACAAAAAATTAGGTTAAAATGTTTGCATTTGTAGGAGAGTTCCTCTTAAAATTATGTGTTGCCCCCAGAGGTGTGCCATCCACCCTAACATAGTGCCCGTCAAGTGGGAGCACACCCATTGCCCTCCTTTCTCTCCTCTCTCCACGCTCTCATTACCCTGCCCCCCACCTTGAATTGATATGAGTTTATCCCCAAATTTTTAAAATACCATTTTTGTTTGACACCAGAGGTTGCAAATTATCTGTATTCCTATTATATATTCATTATATTCTTGGTTAAGTATGTCTCAAGTTTTTAAAAGTAATTGATTCCCATAAATGAACAAAGTAGGCTTTACCAGTCTTCATAAAAGATGAAGTAGAGTTTACTCTCAGACGCCCCCAGCTCATAGCTTTATAAATTCTGATTTGAAGTCTCACTTATTTAAAAGTTATGCTGAATGCCTATATATCAATTTTTTAAAACTGAATTTTATCTTGAATCACTAAAAATTAGGTGTTTTCTTCCGTTATAATGCATGCAACCAAGACTTCTCACCTAGTGATCTGCAAAGATTTTATAGAAAATATTTTAATGTAAAGTTGCAAACTCTGTACCATTTTATATTTTCAAAAGCCTTAACTGATTTATTATGATAATTGAATCTTTTAAAAGTATATATGCAAACTACATTTCTATTTTTGATTCTAATCTAAAATTTAAGTAATATGCAGAATTCCTAAAATGCTAAATTTAAAATAGGTCAGCATTATACTCAATTCAGTGAGTTGGCCAATACAATTTTCCATTGTTGACAAGCATAACAAAAAGTGATGAATTA